AAGATGTACTAAACTCCAACTACAATACGTTTCCTGGCCTCAGACCTAAAAATGTCAACATACTTTTGATACTTCATTTATTTTTTGGGGGGATTGTTGTTTTTGTGAAATCTAGATTCAGAAGAAAAACAGCAGTAAGTTTGATCTGCACACAGGGAAAAGTATCAAACCTGCGAATGAGGAAGCAGGCAGAGACCTCGTTGTTCTCATCCACGGCTCTGTGCAGGAGGGTCTGCAGGCAGCCGGAGGGGCCCGGGCTCCAACATGTGGCATCGCAGCCGTGACGCACCTAGTGGGGCAAAAAGGGCGTCGTGTCAGAAAAAGGAAATGGTACAAAAATGTATTCCTTGGATCATTTTGTCTTCCCCAAAAATAGTGAAAAGTTAAGTCAGATGAAGCACAGATTGTAGACGGGGGATTTAAAAGGAAAAGTTGTTTGTGGTTGCATGTTGGCCAGTCATTCAGGCTCTCATTTAACACATCCTCTATGGGATTCCCAGGGAGACTGCCGTTTACCACATGTGCCTCTATTAGCAACGAGCTCCCAGTGTTTGATACAGACTGTTTAAATGATCTGCTGAAGACGTGAAGTCTAATCATTCGGTCGCTTTATTTATTTTAAATAGTATATTTTCTCTCAGTGTGACTTCGCTCCAGCTCCTTAAAGAAACTTGCCACGAGACTAAAATTTCGAATCGATGCAAGAAACATTTGACTGTTGGCTTACTCTCCAACCTTTTGTTGAAAGCTCAGTGTTCTTTCTAAAAAGTATCAGAAAAATATATCAATATATTTCTAAGTTGTTCCCCCCCTCCCCCCCTCTTTAGAGTGAAACAATGGAAATGGTACAGGCTAGGTCCTTATTTAGTTTACTTATTTACAGTGTTAAAAGAAAAAAAAAAGAAAAGATCTGTACTTGGCACATTTATTAGCATTAACCACAAATAGTTTCTACTTTTGGTCATTTTACATCAAATTATAAATTATTAGCGATTAACTAGAATCAGTATGTCAAATTGCATCTAGTTTCTGTTCCAATTTTCAGCTTCAGTCTGATTGTTAATATTTACTCGTTTCATTATTAGCCACACTGGCTGTCAATTCCTTTGCTACTTAGCATGGCGGTGTTCAGTTCGTCATCCTATGACTTCAGACCAACCATTAGCAGCTTTATAACCTTCCATGAGTGGCTTACAAAGAAAACGAACAGCTAGCGATGGCTCATGCCATGTCATTGATCTCTGTAAATTCCCTTGAAGCAGTAAAGCTTTACTCTTTAAGATATGTCAATATGGTTGCTGAGGCACAACCAGCATCTGGGCTTTCATTGTACTTTTTTACCCCCCATTCACTCAATAAATATGAATAATTAATGTAACTAAAAAGAAATAATGAATGAAAAGGACAGGAAAAAAGTAAACGCAACACAGCAGCCTCGTATTCACATGAGGAGAATATTAGCTGTTCAACTCAAAAGCTTAGACGCGTTTCAAATACATAAAAAGTAACCAAAACATCAGCTTTGTTCTATGGAACATTGATTCAGATCGTCTTCCATCTTAAAATGTAAATAATGAAAGCTCAAGGCTTGAATAAACGCTTTTTGCTTTTCCTATGCCACATAAAGTGAAATCGGAATCAGCCGAAAATGCATCAAAGCAAAACTACAAAAACTTGAATCGCATCTCCACAAAACATGTAACAATAACCAGCAAATTATTGTACACTTTCTTTAGCACAACTTCTTGTTCAACTGAACCTACTGTCCACATACACAATTTCTTCCCCTCCCCCCCTCTTACCAGCGTGGACGCGATATCTTCCAGGCCGTTCTCGAGAGCCAGCCATAACGGAGGATCCCCCTTTTCATTCGTAACAGACATATCAGCTCCTCTTGTGCAAATGGCGTCCACCACTAGCGGCAGCTGGTTGCTGATGGCCAGCTGCAGCGCCGTTTGTCCCTCCTGCGTTCTGGAAGTAGAGGCGACGCAGCGTGAATCGCATGAACGCAAGCGCAACGTCTACCTGGACCCAAATCGCTCCTTCGTTGTATTTACTATCAATCGGTTTTAGTCTGAGTCAGTGAAGAAAAACCAGCTGCTGGAATGTTGGTAAGATTTATTGCTACCTCACGTTGATGTCTGCCTGATGTTCCAGAAGAAAGAGGGCGCTCTTGCTGTCCTGTCTTTGGATGGCCATGTGAAGCAGGGTTTGTCCGTCAGACATAGTGTCATTGATAGAAGCCCCGGAGCCCAGCAGCTGGGCCGCGATAGTGTGCATACCTGGCAGGAAGTGATAGAACTTGGTAAATAAAAAAACAACAACAAAAAAAAAAAAGAAAAGTTTAGATGATGCAGATGAAGACGTCCATTTGGTGAAGTGTACCTGTCCAGAGGGCCAAACCCAGGACTGTCTGGTCCATGGAGTCTTTGAGACTGAAGTCTGGAATGATCTGCAAGTTGTTGGTGGCGTGAAGTGCGTTGGCTGAGAGGCAAGACGGGAAGAGAAGCGGTCAAACATCAGGACGTTCAAAACATCAAGGAATCAGAAATAGTCAAGAAAGTTAAACACCATTTCTCACATTTTCCAAAGCTCCTGGTTTAGCTAAGTGATACATTTTCTGAACTATTAGTTGCACAAGACAAAAAAAAAATGTGTCAAAAAAAAAAAACAAAAAAAAAATTGCGACATACCATAAGCCAGTCTAGAAAGCTTTGCTTACCTTTTTGTTCCAGGATGACAGAAACGACATCTGGGTGGTTGTGAGCTATGGCCATGTGGAGCGGCGTCTGCAGAGCCACGCCGTTGGTCTCCTCAGGCAGGGGCTTCTGGGTCTGCAGGTTGGGGTTGGCGCCCTGCTGGAGCAGCTCGGCGGTCAGGCTGGCCAGGCCGCAGCGACATGCCGTATGAAGCGGGCTCTCGCCCTGCAGGCGGGAACGCATTCATAAGTTTGCCGTCATGTTACGATCCATTAGTAAGAGAAAACGCACACATTGGACGTCATCATAAAACGCGTACCCATTTATTCACGTGGTTGACTTTTGCCCCGTGAGTCGCCAGGAAAAGCGCCGCCGCCTCGTTGCCTGCCCGAGCTGCTCTCTGCATGAGGCAGTTTCCTGCAAGGAGGGGCAACACACGAGGTGAATTTGGAGATCGTTTCATCCTTTCACGGCGACAAAAGCGGCAGTCGGCAACATCGGCGAACAAAACGAAAAGCCCCAAACGGCACCTGCGGCGGCGTCCGGCGCGTCGGGATTGCTTCCTCTTTTGATGAGCTGAGCGGCAAAGCCGTTCTCGTCGAACGACGTCCCGTTCACGACCGGGGCGTCGTCCTCGAACGGATTCACAGAGAGGTCTGAGGACATGGTGATGTGCTGCAGAGCCAGCCACAGAGCTGTGCTGCCTTCGTGGTCCTTCAGCTCCAGGTCGAGTCTAAGCCAGAATTACACACGGCCCATTTGAACTCCGTCACATCTTGTCACAAATCCTAACATACTTTACAGAGATTTTAATTGGCAGCCCAAGCTGTGATCATTTTTTTTACCCCCCCTTTTTTTTGTACAATAGACACACAATTCCACACATGCGCTGCACTTCCACAATAAAAGGAAGACCACCAGATACCAGAACATGGGCTACTTAACAGAACAATGCGTCTCCATGCCGACAGCCTCAAAGCAGTGCTGCCTTCTCAAATTTACCGAGCTCATCTCGTAAATTTTGCTACATCTACGACGCGAAAAGCAACAGAATACTCAGAGAGGCATGGGATGTAAAATTGTTCCTAAGTTGCATTTTTATTCATGAGATCTTTTTTTTTTTTAAGCCAAAGAATTCAGTGGAAGGGTTGATTCTTTGTAAAACTGAGGGACAAACATTGGAGTGTAACAACAATGCACTCTTTTAAACGGCCTTTGACTCACACAAAAATGAACTATATACTACAAGAACTAAAATTTTAAAAGTGAGGGGCATTAAGTGCTTTTACCCCAATAATCCCAGATACACCCCTGCAAAATATGAATAGGTTCAAAGAGTATGAACGCTTTTTGCAGGAGACGGTTCTAATTAGCTCGTTACATCACACCAGAGACGTATGAAACAATCACAATGAGCCCTGCTGTGATTTCTGATCAGAGTGGTACTCACTGTTTGCACTGCAGCAGCTGATTGAACACGGCCTCGTTCCCCGACGCCACGGCTTCGTGCAGCGGAGTTCTGAAAACGCAACATGGGTAAAGAAGCGGCATCACACTTTGCACTGCAGTTAAACGTTTACAACGCAGTAAAGCGCCCCCGGAGCCGGCGTCATGTGACCCACCTGCCTTTGCTGTTCTGCATGTTGGGGTTAGCTCCGGCTTTGAGCAGAGCTTCCGCGATCCGGGCCATGCTGCCCATCACCTCGGCCGTGTGTTTCTTGGGGCTGAAGGAGCAGACCAGGTGGAGCGGGGTCTCCACCGCCCCCACTGTGGCTGCGTTCACCTGGGCCGAGTGGTGGATCAGGAAGATGGAAGCAAATTCGTCCCCTAGTGGGGGAAGAAATAAAAATTTCTGATTGAAAACTTTTTTTTTTTTTTCCCCCTCAGAAATTATTTTAAAGTCCAGTTTTACACCAGCGGCAGGATGATGTCGACTGACCTCTCTGGATGGCCTTGTGAAGGAGGCTCCAGCCGCTCTGATCCACCATGTCCACGTCGGCTTTGTTGTTGACCAGAGTCGTGGCGATCCCCTCCAGCTTCTTGGAGAGCGCCAGGTCCAGAGCGAGGTCCCCGTTGTTGTCCAGTTCATTCAGTTTCCCCGGCAACTGCAAAGCAGGTAGAAAACTCGTCAACTTCTCCGCGGCGGAACAAGACCTTTTATTACAGCTTTGCGGTACTCGATCGACGGAGACGCAGGGAGGACGGCGTCTACCTGCGAATCCATCTCTATGAGGTACAAAAACACCACGTCTTCCCGCTCGACTTTGATGGCTTTGTGGAGAGGGTACTCCGTTTTGGATTTGATCATCTTGTACAAAAGTTGGGCACTCATGGTACTGAAATCTTCCTTCCGCAGATCGTCCTGACGGAAAAGACGTGAAACGGTCACAACAACATAGACGATGAAGGGAACGGGGGGGAGAGGGGACAACAAAAAAAAAAAAAAAAACATAATAGATTATTCTGAACAGAATTGATTTTTTTTTATGTCTTCTCTTAGATTGAATCGGTTTCATTCTCTGAAGCGTAAAAATAGCTGAGGACAGTAAAACAAATCTGAGCTAAATGGGGAAAAAACCTCACAGAGAAACATAAAAGTCAAGACGTTAGAATAAGAAGTGCAAATGTTTGGTTTTTCTTTTAAGCAAAGTTATTGGTCAGAAAGGTCAGTAAATGGAGAGCAGGGAGCAGTGGCTGATTTCCAGACCTTTGAGGAGGTAGATGTGATCGGTAGACTGATCGCACAAAACAAGAGAAATCTGAGGCGATTTATTGGTGCACCTCTAACTAGAAGTCCGTTTCATTTCCTCGTTTTGACCAGAACGTCAACAATAAAGTCCTCACAATGGCTCCCTGCAGCTCAGAGAATAGGCTTTAAAACACCGTTGTTAGTTTACAAACTAAAATACATTAAAGATCTGTTGTTGTCGTATCGACCTTCCAGACCACTCGGGTCTTGTGGTTCTGGTTCTGCTCTGCATGCCCAGAACCAGACAGACTTCATTTAAGCCAAGAATAAAGAAAAAAAAATCCATTTGTTCAGAGCTGCTTTTGAACTACAGAAAAACTGAAACGCTAACAAAAAAAGTGAGTTTGAAGAGTTTAAAATCTGATCTGAAACAGACTACAGTACGTTGGTGCTTTCATGAGAATTTTGTTTGGTTTTTTTTGGTTTGTGGGAGACTGAAAGGAGGAAATGTAGCAAAAGGCTCCAAATGACAGTTGGATTTCCTCAAAGAAAAGCCACAGAAACTTGAAGCTACTCACCCAGTGGCTGGCTATGATCTCGCCACAGTAGTTCATCAGGGTGCTGGCGTTTAGCTCCTCGGCCGTTTGGTAGAAGCGGATGCAGTTCCTCACGTTTACGGATGACATCACGCCTTTTTCACACCTGTTCCGACAGACGGACAAAGTTTTCTACTTTACTGTGTAAACCACAAAAACAACGTCGCATAACATTTGGATTTTTATTTATTTTGTTGTTGATCTTTATGAATTTTACGTTTCCATTACCGGAAAGCTACAATCATCAAAATTACAAGACGATACTTCCAATGTTTCACTCTGTATGTAATGAATGTATTAATTCTGCTTTCTGAAACGAGAGGGGAGAAAAAAAAAAAAAGTAATAAATTGAGATGCGCCTGTGAATGGCAGGTGGCTCCTACCGCTCTCTGAGCAGGTGAAGCTGGAACCGGTTTGCCAGCTTCATCAGCTCAATCAGAAAAGCGTCATCCTCGGTGAGCTCCAGCTCGTCTGTGTACACCCAGCGCAGCATCGCCATGGCGACCTCAGCTTTGCAGTCTGAGAAGCATTGAAATGACAAACAGATTCAGGCGAAACCTTTGCTTAGAAAGTAAATACTGGCTTTGATTAGGGTGTGTTTATTGCCCTACATAATTATATGCTCACAGTAGGAATGGGAGATTATGACTTAAACGTAAAACATGAGATTTCTTTCGAATCGGATCTTAATCCAATTCTTTTTTTGCTTTCTTTTCTAAAAAAAAGAAATTATAAATGAAAGAAAAAAATCTGACTCATTTCAATAATGTTATTCATTAACAAAGAAGTGTTCTGACTGACAGACAGCTCTCCTTAGTGCGCAATAGCTCATAACGTAAAAAAAAAAAAAAAAGCCCCAAAACAAAAACAGTCATATCTGATAAGGGGCGGGGGATCATGACAGCTACTCCACCAACACAACCAGTGCTGCTCACCAGTAAGGTCCAGTTCAGCGGTGGATGCCAGGTTGGCCAGACTCCAGGCATCGCTGCGAGCGGCCAGCACAAACTTATGGGCACAGTATTGATTGCCCGCGACTTTCACTTTCAGATCACTGCAAAAACAAAAACAAAACAACAACAACAAATAAACCAGCATATTCCTCAAGCTGACCCAGACTTCTCCCGGTCATTGCAAGTGCAATCCTCACCTGTAGTGTTCCTGTTGGTAGAGGTTGGCCACAAATTCCAGCAGGCGGCTGATGAAGGTGTCTGCACTCGCAGGGCTGGGAGAGGCCTGGCTGGAAGTCTGCGCGGCGAGCACGGCGCAGCGCCTCTCGGTGTCGGCCAGCTTCTGCTGCATCTTCACGTACTCCTGCCTCAGCAAGGCCAGGTGCTTCTGCAGCTTCCCCACCTCCTCTGCGCGGGGCCCACGTGAACGCAGACAGATGGGGGGGGGGGGGGAACAAATCGATACACAGGGTCAAGGACGGAGGGTTACAAAGGTCCGCAGCAAACACGGGTTTAGAGCCAACTGTGTGAGGCAACCGGAACCCGAGAGTAAAGAGGAAGACCTGCGGACATCTAACGACTGTTTTAGGAATCGATTAATCGATTATCCGAGGAAGCAGAATAACTGTGTCAAATAACAGAGGCACGCTGCACTTTTTAGATTTCTTCTTCTTTTTATTTAATTAGTAAAAAAGTTTTGAAAATCATCCAAATAATTGTTTACCAATTTCTCCAGGTCTATTAAACAGAATGCCAAAAGAAAAAAAACAAACAACCTTTTAAATGTGGAAAGACTTTTCTCCCCAGAAGTCTTCAAATCAAATTCCCATTAGCGCAGCCACACCTTTGTCCTCCCTCAAGTGAATGTTACAAAAGCCAAGAGTCTGCCGAGTTCCTCTGAGGCCCATTTCCTTCCTTTAAGCCAGTAAAAGTTTTAGTGAAGCAAGACTGCTGAGGCAGCAGGTTACTGTGCAGTCCATCATAAACGGTCACTGGCAGAGCCACTGGTCATGAGGAAGGGGGGTGGGGGGAAAGCACCCGATTGGTGGCACACGACAAGGCAAACACAGCTTTGGACTCATCTGGCAGTGGACGATGGCAAAGCATACAGAAAACATGACATGGACCATAATAAAAGCGCGCAAATTTAATTAACCAAATCAAGGGTTTGCCATTCTTTGTCAATGCGATACCGCTAGGAATCCTTTAAAAGCCGAGCAGCTTTAACAGAAGCGACAAAGCTGGTGTGTTTGTAAGCAGATTTCCCCTTAAACTCCAGGCTTAAAATAGGAGGTGCCCTCGGACCTGGGACCTGAACCCAGGGGGAGCTGATCAGGCGTGACTCTCGTCTTTCTGTTCTGGCAGGTTCTGTTCTGTTTAACCCGTACTGAGCTGTAAAAGCGCAGGGCAAACAGCTAGCGAAGCGGCAAAGGCTACTAAATCAAACTAGACTGGCAGTTTGCTACGAAGCATGACGTTGGCATTTAATCAGTAGTTAATAGCAACATTACACGCTCGTTTGACGTATTAACAGTCGCTCTGTAACGGTCAGCTTGTTGGTATTGGTACTCATTTCCTACTCGTCTGCGTCTACCGCAGCGGCAATTCATTTTGGCCACTTCGTCCAACTCGTACAACAAAAATTCGGCTAGCAGCAACACCAACGGACGCTAACGACAGATTCTGCTCACTTGCATGATGAGTGTGACAAGAACAGTATCGCGGTACTTCATGAAAAACAGCCCCTGACAATGTATGGCCTATTAAACTGTCAAGGTGTTGAGTAACACGATTTGAAAGGAATATCAATGAAAAATACAATAAAGGGCGTGTATTAAATAGTTAAGAGGGGGAGAAAAAATCTCTCACCTTCCGCCATGTTGCTCTGCGTTAGCTCCGCGGACTGATGGTGTCTATCGCGATATGATGAAGCGGCTCACAGTGGGCGGTGGTGGTGCGTTTAAGTGCTTCACAAAAGCTCGTTAGCAGATGGAAAGGTGGTCACATGATACTTTTAGGAACATGTACATCGGTCAACATAGTGAAATAGTTCAAAATAAATCACCTTTCCAACTCTAGACTGTTTCGGGCCACAAGCAGAATTAGATTTGAGGCTCACTCACCCACAACAGCACCAATAATACAGTTTTAAAATGGCAGAAGCTTGATTGTTATGCATTTAATGTCGGCAGATCTGTACTTGCAAGCCGTCACTTAAATTTACTGCATCACACATGTAAATCACTTCACATTCTTTAAAAATGAAATAGACAATTGTGCTCATAAGCATGGCTTAGTTGGCTTTTGCCTTGGGCTTGCTAACTATAAAACAAAAACAATATTTATTTATGATACGGTGGGCTCCACTAAACATATAAAGGCAGAAGTAATGTACTGTCTTGAAGACAAAATAACGTTGCTAAATACAGTGAATTTTTATAGATATGGATTAAAAAATTTCAAAATAAGTTCCAGATGTTTTTCAGATAAATGCAGCTGTAGGGCAGTGGGGCAGCTTGTCAGTTGAAATAATGGGATACTTTAAAATCCTTTAAGGTTATTCACTGTATGGTGACAGTCTGGGAATGATTGCACATTAAAACCATCTGGGATATTATTGGGATGCATGAGGTAAAATGAAGGACAGGTGTCAAACCCATGCAGGAGAGGGACACTGAAATTTTAACCACTTTCTTCATTCCATTCAGCCAGAGCAGGTTTGATGACGATGAAGGCATTTGTCTACTAAGCAAAGCACATCAAAACTTTTTTTTTTTCTGAAAGAAAGTTTCTGAAACCCCTTCACTCCTATGTCACCAACTGATATGGGAGGGTGGGGAAAATTATTGATGCAGAATGTTGGTTTTCATTGGCAAAAGGTGCAAGATATAGAAATCATGATCCTCTGGCTTTCATGACTCCAGGATTTGTTCTACTGCTTGATCTGGAAAGATTTCAACAATTCCAATATGAATTCTTCTTGGGTGAAAAAATATCCATGAACACAAGCGATTACTCAATGTTCCCAATTCCCAACGGCAATTACCTTTTTGTGTGAGTGCAAGCTAATTCGATGAGATTGAATTTTGTTCTTCAGTCCAATTGTGTTCAGACACAAAATTAATCTAACCTGTAAAGAGTCCTAGGATTTCCCTCCTCTGGAACCCTAATGATTAGACCATGTGTACTGTTCCAACTAATATGAAAGATTATGGACTCAATTTCAAAAAGACGCAAAAAGCTGACGTATAGCAGTGGCAGCAGTATGCTGAGGGGGTTACTTTTCTTTGTCAAGGTGGAAGAAAACTAGGAATCATTCCAAGTACACATTAGCTGTGCAAAACCTTCAAATGTTTGCTGGGTAGCTAAAACTGAATTTGCTTTTTAGCATAACGACGACGTCAAACGTGGATGAGAAATGAAATCTAGACAGACTGAATTATTTTAGTAAAGAAAACATTTCCCCTATGAAGTATTTATGATATATACAACATAAAGGTGGTAAAACTTAATTTATCAGTGTGTCATTTTAACACTACAAAAAAACAAAAAACTAGCATTTGAGAGTTTTGCACACCTTTTATATCTATTGTACATCAAACTAAAGCTGTGCTTGTACCGGGAGTTAACCACAGTGACGGTAGCATCATGTTAGCTTCATTAGAATAAAAGTCAATTTCTAATCAATAATCTCAGACCTCAGCTTGGACATTTAAAAGTTGGATTTAAGTAATCCAGCATAGTGACGAAAGAACACCTGAACCTGCTTGTTAAAGACTTGTTTGTCTCTCCGAATAAAATCCAACAAATAAAACAAATGTAGCTAAAATCTAATTTTGGTAAAAGAAAAAGTAAGTAAATAAATGTGGACCACATAGACCACAAGATATTCGTGCCCCCAGACATTCAATAACTTAAGGAAATACCATGAATGTTATGACCTCGAGAGCAAGTTGGGTTCAGAAATCAATTTTCATTCAGTTCAGACGCAACAGATCTTAAACTGCAATCCGTCTTGAGAGGTAGATTTTTAAAAAATATAATTTTTTTTCTACACAGTAAAATTATCATTACCAGTCAAAAAAGGATATTTTGCTCCATCTGAACCACGGGAGGCGTAAATCAGGAAAAAAAGCCGAACTGCCGGGACTTATTGAAAAAAAAAAAAAAGGTCATGTTTTAGAAGAACTCACTACAGGTGACAGATTTCATAAGAAGAAAAATATACATCAGAATTTCGTTTTGTACATTGAGCAAAACTGCACTAGATCAGAGAGGGTAGAATTATCAGAAATGTGTGAATAAGGGCAAAGGGCGCCGAAACAAAACGGGCAGGCGTACTTTGTTCGTCAACACTCAGACATTTTCAAACCAAAAAAAAAAAATCCAAAAGGCATGCAACAGCTCCTACAATGAACACAGAAAAAGGAACAAATCGCTGCTAAAATAAAAAATTAAAAAAACCCTGAAGAATAGGACCTCAAATTCCATCAGCAGATAAAAATTTACTAGTACAATTTATACCAGGAGGGTTATTGCTACAGAAAATTGTCACAAACACCCCAATTATAGAATCCCAATGTAATGGCTATTATATAAACCCATATTATAGGCAGGACATGACAACTGCTTTAATGTTATTCCAACACTTTGAACCCTTGTGGAGGTAAAGGGGGGAGGGGTGGTGGCCAAGCATTTTATTATTAGGAGGCACTTTTGAAAAACAAAAACAAAAACAAACAAAAAAAACAGCATGCACAACAAAATAACACTGATGTTTCTTTGTGCCAAATTAAAATATGGTAAGACTTCAGAGGCAAAAAAAAAAAAAAAAAAGACAGCATAATCCAGGTTTACATGTGATGAGGTGAGATCTGGGATGACTGTAAAATCCATTCCAATGTGTTCAGGCGGTAATCCTCAGGCATGTTCCTCGTGCGTCCCTCAAAAACAGCCCCTTCACAGACGACGTTCCTCTGACAATGATTTGTTCCGTTTAAGACCTCCTGTGGAAAGCAGCCTAACGACGTCTAACGCATGCTGGAGTCGAGAGAAGAAGAAGAAGAAAAAAAAAAAGACAAAAATAAATCTGTCCGAACCAGCACTAAATATTTGGTCTAAAAGGTCTTGATGGATGAAGAGGGAGCGTATATATTATCCGGTTGAGTCTGTGCTATGTACATGTCTTTACAATATCATCCTGAATGTTGAAGCAGTTCAGAAACTTGAAAAATGTTTTAACATCTTCTGGGTGCATGTTTTCTTTTATTTTTTTTATTTTATTTTATTTTTTTCATTATTTTTTTTTTTTTGTATGTTGGCACTTGCTTGGCGGGTTGTTGTTTGTTTTTTTTTCTGTCAGCCTCGGTAGTCACTTTAATGTTATATTGCAGCCTACAGTTGCCAGTCTGTTCCAGCCAAAAATGAAGGAGGACAAGCCTGGCGACAGGGTGGAAGAGTGCAGGAAACAGTGCCATCTTGAATTTCAAATTTGGAGACCTGCGGAAACGGGAGGGGAAAGATTAGACCATCATTTTTAGCGGGCATCACACTTCAAAATGCCTGCAACGGCATTAACGTCTCTGGAAATGTTGCAACATTTTGTGTGACAAATTAATGCTAAAATTTTATTACAGGAAAAAAAAAACTTCACATATTTTAATACATGTCCCATTATTTTTAACAAATTTAGGGGCAGCATCCTTCCAAGGGTCCTTCATCGACTAGAGACTAGAAGTGAGCGGCTGTGAAGTGGGACGGTCCAACCTTTGGATTTATTCCCGCCTTTACGTCAGGTTATGTTCTGTCACCTAGCAACCCGAACGGCGCTAAAACACTGGCGAGTAAAAACGAAGATCAAAATATTGGCTTTCTCTCCTCCAATTATTATTAGCTAAGAAGAATAATAATAATAATAAGTGAGCCTTTTTTTAGTTCCTGTATTTTCTGGACTATAAGTTGCACTGGAGTATGAGAATCAGTCAAAAAATGAAGAGGGAAAAACAAACATTTACTGAGTTGTGCTTAAACCATTCAGTGAGAGAGGGACCTTGTTGCAGTACCAAACTACAAAAAGTTCAAACTATAGTCCATTCACTACGGTAATGAAAATAGTTTAAATTAACTGATCTCTTCACAAAAATGTATTAAAAAAAAAAAAAAAAACATGTCTATGCAAACGATGAAAGCCATAACACTTTAAGCTTCTCATTTTTGTAATGATCCATTTTGAAATGTACTTCAAAAATGTATTTCAGTCTAGGTATGCCTCCTGCTTTGCATGCAATCATTAAGAAAAATGTATACACACCCTTCACTTACCTTATGAAAGACTTCCCAAATTAATAGAATCCAACTGTTTGTTTTTATTCATTATTTATGGATGACCTAATAGTCCCCCCCCCCCCCGGCCCCCTTTTTGTTTTTTTTGTTTTTTTTTTTTT